GAGAGTATACCACCATCACTTATAAATACTTACTAACAGGGGTCATTTCGTAGAAAAAGAGGTGCAGGAGCTCATTCGCATAACTTATTTGCATATGCCACGCCCCCTGACATCACCGGAAGTGTGTCAGAAGGCAACACCCACCGCTCAGGCTCCACTGGACTGTTTTGGATTGCTAGCTATCGGGGGGGGGGGGGGGGGGGGGATCTTGCCGCCTTGGTCTGGGAGTTTTGTGGGGGGGGGCAACGTGCAGATCTGTCCTCGCCGAGGAGGGAGAGCTTGTACCTGAGTAGGACTTGGTGCCACTGGACTGTTTTGGGCCGGGGGGCCGGGGGGGGGTCTCTGCAGCTTACCTGGCTGCTTCTTGCTCTGACTGAGGGCTGTTGGGAGCAGGGGGTGGGTCTTGTTGCATGTGCCTGCCCCCTGGGCTCTTTACTGCCGGAGCTCCGCTCCTGTGCGCTCCTGCAGGAAATGACCCCTGCTTACTAATATTTATCAAAATTTATTGATATTTATGTTTATTGGCACGGACACCCCTGATTCTGAGGCTGGGGTAGTCGCTCGGGGGTGGGGGTGGTCACTGGCTTGCTAGCCTTGCATGGACCAGGGCGAATGAAATGGCCCCGCCTCCCTTAGATGAGCAAGACAGGAGGGGGGGCACTGCCCGTGTGAGCGGTGAGAAAAGGGTGGAGATCCGTGCCCCCCCCCCAGCCTGACACCACCAGGAAGCAAAGCGGAGCATAAGCAAAACCTCCCCTCGTTTTTTATTAACGTTTGAAAACAATGTCTTAAAAAAATATAGTCTGAATTCTGATACATATTTGTACAAGGACGCTCTGCAGGTCCCTCCCTGAGAGCCGGGTTATAATCCGAGTGCGGGAGCATCTGTGATTCCACCGCTCGAGAAGGAAGTCCAGACAAAGGCCCGGATCTGGCCCAGATGCGACGATCACAAGTAACAGTAATCCTCTATGCACAGGTTCTTTCCAGCCCCCCCCCCCCAACTTGCCCCTCAGGGCCGTAAGTAACAGGCAGGATTGCGAAGGCCTCCTCTTATCAGCCTCCTCCTCCTCCTCCTGGGCCTTTTCTCCACAGGCCGAGTGCTTCTTCCAGCCACAGGGAAAAGACACACCCCCCCTTAGCACTTCGGTCCGTGCTTTTACCCCTGTCTTCCAAGGCGGAAGCAATGATCGTTACTCCACTGGTTGCTCTGGGGGCCCAGCGACCCTTCTGGCTCTAACCCCTGAGCCTGACTTCCTTTCCAGAGCTGGAGGAGGAAACCAGAACTCTTCAACCCCGAGGGTGCTCTTTTTATGCAGACTGTTTCTATCCATGCAAATGTGCCGTCCAGTCCAAGAACGTGGCCTAGAAGGAGAAAAGCCTTCCGGACAGGCGTTGTCCTCCAGTGAGCTCCTTGTGGGCTTGGGGAGGGGGGGGCGCGCGCACTGGATGGCACCCCCAGAGTGTCTCCTTTCCAGGCGGGCGTTAGTACCCCACTCCCTCTCAGCTTCACAAAAGGACACTCGGAGCTCCCTCCAGACGGTGACCATTTTAAAAGCGCCTTCTCGAAAAAGAAATCTGGGTAATGTCCAAAGTCTCTTTAGGGTCACTTTGCACTTCTCTCCCTGCGGGAATGAGTTGGGAACATCCGGAGCATCGGAAGTGGATCTGTCTCCACCGGATTCCTCTGGCCCTTCGCCGGAGCCAGGATATTGACACCTCGGTTCTCTCCTGGGGCCCCAGGGCTCGGCCCAGCGCTCGCCACGGCTATGAGCACGCGATGTAGGCGGGCAGGAAGGGGTGCGGCTGGATCCCCCCTTCGCAGAGGTTGGTGTACAAGCTGGCTTGGCCGACATTGGAGCCCACGGGGCTGTAGTCGGCAGAGATCCCGGAGTCGGACACCATCCGGTAGGTGCTCTTCAGCGGGGGCTCTGCCTGGCGGTCTGTCGGGGAGAGGCTCTCCGAGCTGGGGTCGAACACCGTGTACTCGAAGCTCGAAGAAGCGTGGCTGGCCTCCCGGGTCCCTGCCGCCGCGCCCGTGCTCTCGCCGATGGCCCCGTCCATGGAAAGCAGGGAGCCCCCCGCCCCGGGGCTGTAAGGCAGCAAGTCTTCATCCAGGACCAGGTACTCATCTTGAGAAGCGTCTGGGGGGCCGGGGAGCTCCGCCAGGCCACGGGTCTTGGGAGGGAGAGGAGTAGGAGGAAGGGAGTCCACCTTGCAGGGGTCACATTCAGAGAGGATCTCCACCAGGAACGGCTGCTCCTCCAGGAGGTGGGGGCTCTGGCTCCACCCCAGGTAGATGCTCTGGTGCCCCAGCCACAGCTGCAAGGGGGAGGGAAAGTCCGGGTCAGAGGTCGGGAGGGAGGGCTCGGCTCCAACTGACTCCCCCCCCCACCCAACTTTCCTGGCAGGGTCTGCAGGGTCTGAACCTTGCTGGCCCCATAAGGACTTTTCTGTTTCCAGACATTCTGCTGCCAAAGGGATTCTTCTTTCCACAGCAGGACTGAGGGGCTGAAAGGACTTTGGCCCCTTTAGGATCCAGGAGCTGAGAGACCTGCGATCCCACTCCGGCTAAGGGCCCACCGCCTTCCCTGTCTCCCTCTGTGGCTACCTGTGGTGGTCAGGCAGCCATCCGTGGGCTACCCCGCCACTCAGGGCCTGCCCGGCATCGACCAGAGCCCAGCCTCTTCCCTTGCGGCTCCGGCCCTGTGGAGGGGGCTCCCTGAAGAGGTGAGGGCGGGCCTCCTCTAAGCTGTGGAGCCTTGTGGGCAAAAATCCTACTTTGTGAGCTACTTGGCATTAAAGTCGTGAGCGAGCGATTGGGCTGCTGCATATAAATCCGCTTGCTCCGGAGCCCTCCGTCCTGAGCTGAGACAAAAATGTGTGCGCCGGAGGCTAAAACCCTGTGAGCTGGCTCACACTCACTCAGCTCAGAGGGAATACTGCTGCCCCCCTCCTTGGAGACCCCCGGGAGGTTCTGCCAGGCCTGCTTATTTGCCAGGGCTTCCGGGGGAGTGGTGTGAGTTGGCAGGCATCTCTCGAGGGGGGGGAGGGGGGAGAGATTGGGGACCTGAAAAGGCTTCTGACTGTTATCGCAAGCCCGCCTTGAACCATGAGGAAAGGAGGGATAGGGACGTTTTAAAAACAAATTAATGAAATACGATATGAGGGTGGAGCCCTGGGGAGGGAGGCCCACCCACCACTAGGACTGGGCAGCAATGCTCCCTCTAAGCTGTGGAGCCTTGTGAGCAAAAATTCTACCTTGTGAGCCACTGGCATTAAAGTCGTGAGCGAGTGATTGGGCTGCTGCAGAAATGAGTTTGCTCTGGAGCCCCATCCTTCCTCTGAGTTGAGACAAAAGTGTGTGAGCTGGAGGCTAAAAAACTGTGAGCTGGCTCACACTAACTCTGCTTAGAGGGAACACTACTGGGCGGGCGGGCGGAGTAATACCTGGAAGTTCCCCTTGTAGATGGTGAAAAGGTCCTTGAATTCATGCTCCGGGGTGGGGATTGCAGGCCAGATCTTCTTCTTCAAAAATCTGGGGAAAGACCGCAAAAGAGAATGTGTGTGTGTGTGTGACCAACATAGACACCAGCACCAATGCTCCCCTCTAAGCTGTGGAGTCTTGTGAGCAAAGATTCGACTTTGTGAAACTACTGGCATTCAAGTGGTGAGCGAGCGATTGGGCTGCTGCATATAAATCAGCTTGCTCTGAAGCCACATCCGTCCTGAGCGGAGACAAAAATTCATGAGCCGGAGGCTAAAAAACTGTGAGCTGGCTCACACGAACACAGCTTAGAGGGAACGCTGCCCACCACCCACCACCCCAGGAACTGGCTAAGAGACCAAGCCCCCCTCAGGGCCTTTCCAGGTGGCTGTAACTGCCACATCTCTCTCTGTGTCTCTCTCTGTCTCTCTCTCTCACAGCTCTTCTGAATCTGTTCCCGCCCCCCCCCCCCAGAGGAGGACCGGGTTGTCTGTTGGAGGAAGGCCTCCTGTCCTGTCCTGTCCACGGGAAGGGAGAGAAGTGCTTCCCCAGAGCCCTACCTGCGGTGAGACATCAGGGTGATGAAGGCCAGGAGCAGGACAATCAACACCAGAACGATCGACAGGGTCAGGATGAGGGGATCCACGTCTGCAAAGGAGGAGAGACCCTCAGCCCCTGACCACCATATTGGCCTCCCAGAGTTGGCACCCAGGGCCCTTTCCCACGGTGGCTTCCCAGGGAGGAATCACGGCAAACTCGTTTTTCGAGGGTGGGTTTTGGTGTGATGAGCCAGCTGTGTCAACGCTGCTGCTTTCCAAAGGCCCGCGTGGCCTGGGGCCAGTCACGTGCACTCTCTGCCTAACCTACCTCACAGGGTTGTTGTGAGGATAAAACAGAATAGAGGAGAATGACGGAAAGAAAGGCAGTGTCAGTTAACACGGCCATTTCCCTGGAATGCGTGTGGGGGGGGGGAGACCCTCCTCTCCTCAGCCTGGTACACTAACAAGAGAGCCAGTTTGGTGTAGTGGTGAAGTGCGCGGACTCTAATCTGGGAGAACTGGGTTTGATTCCCCTCTCCTCTTCCACTTGCAGCTGCTGATGTGACCTTGGGCAAGCCTAGTTCTGACAAGAGCTGTCCTTGAGAAAGAGCTCTCTCAGCCCCACCTACCTCACAGGGTGCCTGTTGTGGGGAGGGGGAGGGAAAGGAGTTTGTGAGCCGCTCTGAGACACCTTTGGGTAGTGAAGGGCCATGGGGTATAAATCCAATCTCTTCTTCTTCCTCCTCTTCTTCTTCCTCACAGGGTGTGTCTGTGGTGGGGAGGGGGAGGGAAAGGAGTTTGTGAGCCGCTCTGAGACTCCTTTGGGTAGTGAAGGGCCATGGGGTATAAATCCAATCTCTTCTTCTTCCTCCTCTTCTTCTTCCTCACAGGGTGTGTCTGTTGTGGGGAGGGGAAGGGGAAGGAGTTTGTGAGCCGCTCTGAGCCTCCTTTGGGTAGTGAAGGGCCATGGGGTATAAATCCAATCTCTTCTTCTTCTTTTTCCTCACAGGGTGTCTGTTGTGGGGAGGGGAAGGGAAAGGAGTTTGTGAGCCGCTCTGAGACTCCTTTGGGTAGTGAAGGGCCATGGGGTATGAATCCAATCTCTTCTTCTTCCTCCTCTTCTTCTTCCTCACAGGGTGTGTCTGTGGTGGGGAGGGGGAGGGAAAGGAGTTTGTGAGCCGCTCTGAGACTCCTTTGGGTAGTGAAGGGCCATGGGGTATAAATCCAATCTCCTCCTCTTCTTCTTCCTGTCTGGGTTGTTGCCTGCTTATGCTTTTCTGACCTTGGGGTTCCAGCTGCTCCTGACCCACTGGGAACAAAGGGCTCCTATTTTGCCCGCTCCCTTTTCTCCTCCCCCCCCCCCCGCGCACAATACACAATGCTGATTGGGTTCTGCTTGCAATGGGGGGTGTTTTGAAACTGGCATAACTCCGGGTGCCCTGCTGCGTTGGGCCATTCCTGACAAACGACGTTCATGTGTCATCGTTATGAACTACCAATAAACAGAATGCTTCTTCTGAAGTGCTGTGTGGTGTGATCTGACCATCGAACCCTGATAGAGCCCTTTGCTCCCAGCGGGTCAGGAGCAGCTGGAACCCCCAAGGTCAGAAAAGCAGAAGCAGACAACGACCCAGACAGGAGACATCGTCAGTGTGCCAGGCGGAGGAGAGGAGAGGAGAGGGGGAATCTCCCCCCCACACACACACACACATTCCAGGGAAATGGCCGTGTTAACTGACAGGCAGGGGATGAATAAAGAGCCAGAGTCCAGAAGCACCTTGAAGGAGAACACAACTTGTGGCAGGGGAGGAGCTTTTGTGAGTCACCGCAGTCACTTCTTCAGATACTGCTTCAGGCGGCTATGGGACTCGTGCACTTTCCTGCTGCTACAGATAGACAAACACAGCTGCCCCTCTTGGACATGGGAACGTCCAGGCTGGAGAAGAGGAGGCTGAGGGGGGACAGGATCGCTCTCTTTAAATATGTGAGAGGCTGTCATTGGGAGGAGGGCCAGGAGCTGTTCCAGTTGGCAGCAGAGGAGAGGACTCACAAGAATGGGTTTAAATTAAGGGCGGGGAGGTACCGGCTGGATCTTAGGAAGACGTTTTGGACAGTCAGAGCTGTTCCACAGTGGAATAATCGGCCGCCTGGGGAGGTGTGGTGAGCTCCCCCTCCCTGGCAGTCTTGACGCAGCGGCTGGACAAACACTCCTTGTCAGGGATGCTCCAGGCTGATCCTGCATTGAGCAGGGGGTTGGAGTAGATGCCCTCTACACTCTGTGTGATTCTTTGTGTAAAGAACATGCTTCCAAATGGCCAGGAGCTGTATCCAAGCATATACAAATGGATTGTGTTGGATATTGTAGCTCTGCATGCAAGAGGACCTGGGAGGGAAAGGGCAAAGAGAATTCTCTTATTTGGGTACACTTGGCTGCACCCTCTCACGGGTGAGATGCTGGAGCTCTTTGGCCCTTGGCTGCCCTCCGTGTTTCATCTGATATGGGACCTCTCCTCCTCTTCTCTCTCTCACCTGGACTTGGAGCTGTAGCAAGTGAACCTTTTTGAAGGGAATCTGTTCACAATAAGTTCAGTGTAGCTACATGAATATGTCATAGAAGACGTACTTCTATTTTTGTAAGTAAAATTTCTTTCTCTCGTTACCACTGGAGTCAGGTCATCTTTGTAATTTGCCTGGACAGCATGTGGAGAATTGGGGATACTGCAGAAAAGCTTCTGGGCTTCCAAGGCAAATGATATATTTTTGCATTTAACCCAATAGATTAACCCTCCAGTACCCTCAACTGTTATCTTGGCAGTTCTCAGCAGTTCGAGACCCGAGTGTGCCGCATGACGGAGTGAGCTCCCGTCTCTAGTTCCAGCTCCTGCCATCCTAGCAGTTCGAAAGCAAGAAACTGCAAGTAGATAAATAGGTACCACTTCGGTGGGAAGGCAACAGCGTTCCGTGCGCCTTGGTGTTTAGTCATGCCGGCCACATGACCACGGAAACGTCTTCGGACAGCGCTGGCTCTTCGGCTTTGAAATGGAGATGAGCACTGCAACCCTAGAGTCGGACTCAACTGGCTTTCGAGCAAGGGAACCTTTACCTTTACCTTACTAAAATGCCCTCAACGGTTATCTCAGCAGTTTCCCCTGGCTCTGTGGGCCTGCTCCGCCCCCCCCCCCGAAAGTTGGTCTCCGGCCCGGACAACCCAAGTGGGCAGCCCCAGGGGCTCACGTAGCTCTCCCCACCTTCTCACCGTGTTTGGCAGCCTGACGCCTGCCTGCCCGCCCTCCACTTTAACCTCACATACTTCCTCCACCTTTTCCAATATCTTTTGCCAAAAATTAACCACCTTAGAACACCCCCACCAAAGATGTACATAATAACCCTTTTCTTTTTTACAATGCCAACAATCGGATGTCAATCCCTTGATCGTATAAGATAGCTGAGCAGGCATTTCAATATTAATTTCGTCTCCATTTCTCTAAATTTTTCCATTTTTATATCACTAATGC